GTTTACGTATTAAACACACATGTTTAATTGTATGTGCACGAGCGTTTGTGTGCACTTGTATGTGCACCAGGCCTGTACAGTGCCCATGGAGGCCCGGAGGGGACATCAGATGCCCAGGGCTGGACTCAATGGATGGCTGTGAGCCACCGTGGGGTGCTGGGATCTGAACCCAGGTCTTCTAGAGGAGCAGCCAGTGCTCTGGCCACTAAGACACTCCCAGCCCGGGCTCCGTATATTAAACTCTGGTTTCTTAGAGGCCCACACCTCCTCGCTGCCTTGGGCCAGCTCAGAGTTAAACGAAGACAGTGACAGGGGAGAGCAGTGAGCTGTATTTGAGAGCCAGCTTGGCAATCTCCTCCCATCCACTCCCGCTGTGAACATCATCGCCGCAAGAGCGTGAGGAGAGCACGGGAGTCGGCAAACGCTGTGATCCGGGGTTTCCTACCTGGAGACCTCAACAGCTCCAGGCACCTGCCTCAGTTTCTTCCAAAACAGAAGATTAATTAACATCCAGAGTGATGTCAGACGTTGCGGCTATGAATTCCTACTCAAGAAACTTACACAGGATGGCTTTTGGAGTTAAGTGTCATTTTTCCAATATTTACTGAGGAATGTTCCTGGAAACCATAGTTAAGTAGAAAAATGTTTCATAATGATTACCGCACGCACGGCTCAGTCAGGAACCCAAGGGGCGTGCTTAGCGACCCACCGGCGTCAAGCAATCTCCAGGTAGGTTTGACCCATCCCTGGCCTTTATTTCTACAACAGACAGACAATGCTTAGTAGCCTCTGGTTACTCATTTAATGGGCTGATTTCCAGTACTATGGGGTTAACACACGCCCTGTGTCTTGGGTGGCAGAGACGAGCAAGCACCAAGATGGGGTTTGTTTTGCCAAATCAAAACAAGATGAAAGCATGAGGCTTCCTTAATGGGTTGGGTGAAGCTAGACTGGGAGTCGCCTCTCCAGCTAGCTCCTGTGCTCTTCCCCATTCTCCCCACAGTCAGGTTTCTCTCAGGAAGGTAACGGGCAGGGCGCTCACAACTGGGACATATCGAGGTTCCTTTCACACCTGAGTTTCTGCATGAAGTTTCTGTGCAGTTAAATTCCTGCTTCCACAGGCCACAGTGTCCTCGGGTGAGGACAGTGGCAGGAGGGTCCAGTATGTGGCCTGCTTCGGCCTGCTGGGGTGCAGCGTTCTGAGCCACCTCTTCCTTCCTGCTGGCTGTCTTCCTCTCACCCCAGCTCCACACCTCGGACAGTCCGCACTGACACGGCCCATCCGTGCACTTGACTCTGAACTGCGCCCGGACTGGCTGTGCAGATGCAGCGGCCATTGGGGTCTCCAGGTATCCGCTGTGGTCGGCCACCCCAGCTCCCGGTGGGGGCCACTTCTGATGCTCTTCTTGTCCCTGCGCCGAGTCCCCTCCCCCTCATACTGTCCACTTCACATCCCTCCACACTCCCCAACATTCTGTGTCCCTTCCCACCTACCTGTCCCTTAAAGGGACATCTGACAGCTGTGTTCAATGTTCCCTTTTCTCCCAGCCAGGAGCCATCACAAGCCGGACTCTAGCCCAGAGCCAGAACTGATTCAAAACAAGTATTGGTGTTTGAGATTTATAGGACATGGGAAGCATGCCAGGACATTCACAAATTTCCCGTTTACTTTCTCCGAACAAATACATGTTCCATCAGTACTGTTAAACCGTTCCTATGCAGCTTTTAGTCTGGATTATTTCCTCAAGCCGGGAATTATTTCTCATACTTTTGTTCCTGAGAGGATACACTTCTAAATTTTCTTATTTCGCTGTCATTTTAAAATTCTATTGAATTATAGAAAAAGTATGAGATCCTACGGCTTCTCCTTCTTGAGCAAAAACCGACACAGGATTGTGAGCTGTCGATATTTATGCGTAGGATGTCATCCTGGATTTACTGGCCCAGTGCTTGATTTTTACAGCCCTTGCTTTGCTTCCTAGATTTACCTGCTTGACGTGCGTCTATCTGACAGGTTGGTTTTTAACTGTTGTTAGGACTTTAGTTATGAATATCCCAAAATTGATTCTCTCGTTCCCCCATGGATAGACATTTTGGTTAATTTCATTTTATCTCTAACTATAAACCATGATCTTTAAAGCAAATTTGTACATTTCTCCTTTCTCTAAAAGCGTGTAAGATTTCCCAAGATGGATGCCTAAAATTATAGTCACTTGATTAGAGGGTTTAAGCTATTCTGCCTTGCTAGTGTCCCCGAGTACAGCACAGTGGTGTTATGACAATGTGTGAATCCCCATCAGTAGCTGCTAGGATTTTCCCCACATCACTGCCAATCCTTGACAATTTCTTTGTTTTATATTTGCCATTTGGATGGTTGTGCAAAATGAGCTTGTTTTGTGCATCCCTGAAGACACACAAATCTTCAGATGGAAGAACCTGAGTCCTGGACAGAATAAACACACAATATGTGCTTAGTGCCGTCACAGTGAAAGTCCAGAATATCACTGACAAAGAGGAAAAATCTTCTGTAAACAACCAAAGGCAAAATAGAATCTTACCGTGGGGGGTCAAGGAGATTGACAGCATACCTCTCGTTGGCAATCACAGAGGGAGGCGAATAAATGGTCAAAGTGCTGAAGGGAGAGGAAAACTGTCAGAATAGAATTCTGCACTGGGATGTTGGGTCCCCCATTCTTCTCCTGGGTTACCCCTCCCCTCCGTGGTTCCCATCAGGCCCCTGCACTCTTCGGAAGTGGGTTCCCGACTCTCACGGGAAGGATGACTCTCCCATGTCTGTGAGGGAAGCAAACGCCTGAACCCCACAACTCTTGCTCATATGACTGATCCCAAGGATAGGGAGGTCAGTGGAGCCCAGACCAGTGGAAGGTCATGTCCCAGAAACCAGGTCAACGCTGCTCCCCCAAGCCCTGGGGATGTAGCTTGCTTGTTTCTGACTCTCGTATCTGGCTTCCTGAGAAGAAGCCTTTTCTGAGACACAAACAAAAGAAGAAACACCAACTAGGAGTCAGAGAAAATAAGAGAAAAATAGCGGAACTTAAGAGGTTATAGTTAGAGCTGGCAAGATGGCTCAGGGGGAAAGATACCTGTTACCAAGCCTGTCAGCCTGAGTTTGATATTGAGACCAATGCAGTAGAAGGAGAGAACTGAACCCCAAAGGTTGTTCTCTGACGTGTACACACACACACACACACACACATACACACACACACGGTCCAGCTAGATACACATTTTTAGTTTACTGACTAGAGCTGTAGAGTTGCTTGCTAGAGGGCAGTAGCTCAGCCACTGTGAGAAATGAAAAGAAAGCCAGGCGGCCACCAGAGGACAGCAGACCAAAGCTTTGCTCCACAGGGCATGAGTCTGGTCGACTCACCCACCAGCAACTTTCCCAGCCAGGAAACAGAGGGACCCGGCTTCTCTGTGCACACCCCTGCCCTCCCCACAGAAACCACGCAGACCCCATGCCTTTATCATGCATATTTGGGCTTTGTTTGTTGGGATGAAGACAACACAGCCCACTAAAACCACAGAACTGCAGGGCTGGGTGGTTTCTGGAAGGTCTGGTAATTGGAGTTCCTCACTGACCGGGAAGTGACTCAGCGGCACAGGCTGAGCAAGTGCCATCACCAGTTAGTGTCAGATTTAGGGGAAAGTCTGGATCTTCTGTCTCTGGAGTTGCTCTCCTCCCCTTGACAGAGCACCGCAGCTGCCTCCAGATGTCCCTCCAAAAGCTCGTCACCAGCTGGACGTGCTAAGCCTTTAGATTCTAATCTCTTTCTTGGTCCACACCATCAGCACCGTGGGACAGGCAAGGCAGTTCTCACCATGTTGGATTAAATACTTGCTCAAAGGCCTCCCGTGTCCTAGCTTCATTTCTATTGATACGATAGCATATCCTGACTTTAAAAATTAAAAATAAAAGCCCTATGGGAGGAAAGGTTTATTAGCTCAAAGTCCCAGGTTACACTCCATCGGTGCAGGGGCTGGAGGCCCCTGGTCACCGCTTCCCAGTCAGGGGGAGAGAGAGGAATGTGGGCATGCTTAGTGCTCAGTTTGCTCCACTCTGACAGCTCCTGCACCCCCAAACCCAGGAGCAATGCCAGCTGCTTTCTGGTTGAGTCTTCGCTGGTCTGTTAAGGAAATCAAGGCCCATTCCCACAGACACACCCCCGGCTCCACCCTATCTAGACAGCCCTCACTGAGACTCTCAAGTTGACAGGCACTGATATATTCAAATGATTGTTTCATCAGGCAATACGGGCCCCATTGACCCACGACAGGGCAACGAGTACACTTGACTATGAACCTGAAGGCTGACTCTTTTAGATATAGTATGACAGTTTAACACTCTAGACTCCATGACAGGTGGGCTCCGGAAAACTGAGTGGAAAGCAGAAATCGGTTCACCTCTGAAAGGCTTTAAATAAGGGACTGGCATCTTGAGACAAAAAAATGGATTCTATATTTATGAAGAAAGCCACCCACAGAAACCTGATTTTGTTTTACTCTTTTAAACTACCTCGCTGGGCTAAGCAAGGCGGCCATCATCCCTCCCTGTATGATGAAGTCACTCAGCGACACTTTCCTGCCTTTCCTACAGCATCCTTGTTCCCCTGGAGGCTTAAGCCATCAAAAAACCCCAGAGAGTAAGTGTTCAGAAAAGACGACACAGACTTGCATTTGGCCAGTCAGAACTGGACAGGCAGTGAAGTAAACTGTCAGGTGCACAGAGAGCCTCCTCTGTGTCCTGAGAACCCCACATGGGGAAAGACTGACCTCTGACCTCCACAAGTCACATGACATGTAAATAAATAATCATTTTCTAAAAAAGAAAATAGAAATTCGTTCAAAAATGGGGGAGGGGCCAGTAGGCCTCACAGAGGTGATGGGGTGACTTCTCCATACCCCCCTCCAGGTCCTCACACCCCCCCAGCAAGGACGGCTGCCGGTGCCCTACCTTAGGTGCACAGGAAACTGAGGCTGCAGGCAGGAGCTGCCCCACACCTCACCACCAAACCCAGAAACACTGAAATCCACTGCTCCCTCCCCCTTTCTGCCTCCCCCGTGAAGAGGACCCAGAGACTTGGGTGTTCCCCTCACTGCTGTCCCGGCTCTCTTCCCACCTTCTAGGGACTTAGTGCCATCAGCTAATCAGCCCGTTCCTCCTCATCACAGGCCTTGCCACCTCCTTCCCGAGAGAGCGAGAGAGCGTTTCAGTGCACTCAAACAGCTCCTGAGGTAACCCAAAGCCACTCCATTCCAGGCGAAGCTGAGGGTGTCACACTGACATTCACAGACGGCCCACTCCCCGCGTCCTCGCACAGAGGAGACCTGCCAAGGTCCCCACCACCTCCTGTGAACTACAATAGACGCCTCTGGTTCCTCAACAGTATCCACACTTTTGAAAAATGTTCTAAAAACAAATAAGCATTCTTTCAGTCAGCAAGTGTTTATTGAATTCTTATTAGTGCCAGACAACTGGAGGCGGCACAGCCCAGCCTGCCAGCCGTGGGGTTTGCATTAGGATAAGCACTGGGGGAACAATTAAACCATAAACAAACAAGTGGGATCATTCCGGAAGACAAACCAAACCCAGCATGATGGAGTCGGGAGCCATGGCACAACCTCTGAGATGACACTTGAGGGGAGGTGTGTGAGGTGTGTGTGTGTGTGTGTGTGTGTGTGGTATGTGGTGTGTGTGTGCTGTGTGTGTGTATGTGTGTGTGTGTGGTGTGTGTGTGTGCTGTGTGTGTGTGTGGTGTGTGTGTGTGCTGTGTGCGTGTGTGGTGTGTGTGTGTGTGTGCTGTGTGGTGTGTGTGTGCTGTGTGTGTGTGTGTGGTGTGTGTGTGGTGTGTGTGTGTGTGTGTGTGTACACCATGGGCCAGCGCCTGATGGGCCCTGAGCGGCTGCACACGGCTCCATGACGGGAGCAAGCACCAAGCATCGATGGCCACGTTTGTCCACATGTGCAGAGAACTCAGAGAAGCAAGCGTGGTCCTGCGGGTGGGGAGAGGACTTCCAAATCTCGGGCAGGCTGGGCCCATCCCAGAGGAATCCTGAGCCTGGCGCACTCCTTCTTTTTCCGTTTTCATGTGTCTGTGTGATGTGTGTGCCTGTTGCAGGTGTATGGCCGCAAGCGTACCGGGGTGTGCATGGAGTCCCTGGGCTGATGTTGGGAGTTATGCTACGTCTTCTACTAGATTCACAGAGGCAGGGTGTCTCAGCCAACCCCAGAGCTCACTGCTGTGGCTAGTCGGCTTGCTCTGGGGATCTCCTGTCTCCCCCTCTGAGGCTGGATTTAGAGGTGGGTTGCCCGCCCGCCCACCTTCTGTGGCGGATGGGAATCTGAACTCTAGACCTCATGTTCATGTGGCAAGAATTTCTTAACCGCTGAGTGGTCTAGAGCCTGGCTTCTCTGTAGAGACATGGCCTCCTTTCCCTCCACTGGACTCCTAAGCAGAAAAGTGTTGGGAGGGCGAGGAGTAGTGAGGGTAGGGGCCCACCGCCTGCTGCTCTGGTCCCAGCTTTTGGCATCTTTGTATCTAAGTTTGGGCTTAAAGCAAGCTGGAATTATTTCTGGGGCAGACCCAGGCTGAGCCTGAATAGCCATGGTTCCTCCCCTCCTCCCGCCTTCCACCTCCACCCATCTGGGCTGAGCAGGGAAGAAGGCCCCAGCCCTGGTGTGGTCTCTGCAGAGTATGGCCAGGGTTCTGAAGTGCTGCCTGTGCCAGTGTGGTGTTTTCATGGTGAGCTTCTGGCCGAGCTCCCCAGGGAGACAAGAGTTAACCCAGGACTTGGAAGGGCTGTCTAGTATTTATACCTGGGCAGAAAAATGACAGCTGGCAAATATTCTCCCAAACTAATCCCAACACCCACACCGCACACCAGGCCACAGGAAGAGGCAATCTGAAGAGCTCCTGCCTGGCCCAGTCGCTGTCCTCACTGCAAGCATAGAGACGAGGCATAAGCAAGTGGGATGGAGAGGGTTGGTTCCCATGGTCTAGAGCAAGAGCCCACACTCAAGCTCATTCTTTCCCCGGATTCTGAGGCTGCAGGTGACGGGGGCAGACCAGAGCAGAGAGACGGAAAGTCAACCCTCCCCTCCCCCACCTTACAGCTGAGCCCAAACCGCCTCACACATGGAGGCACCTCCTACTCAGGGAAGGAACCTGGGGTTGCTGGCAACCCACACACACACACACACACACACACACACACACACACACACAAACACACACACACACACACACACACTACCCTCCTTTCCAGATGACCACAGACACAGATTGGAGGGACAGCAGGGACAGCACTGATACACCGGGCCTCTGCTCTCCCCTGGAATTTGAGGAATTTTGATTTGGGGACAGAAACTCCCCAGCACCCTTTCTTTTTTTTTTTTCCAGCACCCTTTCTAGACCTATGCAAGTGCCTAGGGACAAGTACCCAGATCCAGGATGCCTCAAGGGAGGGAATTGGATGGGAGGACAGGGCTGACGCCATATGACCTTCCTAAGATATATAAGCTGAACACAGCTGTGCTGAAGAATCTGTGCGGGTGACACAGAATTACCCAGGTGAGTACTGACTGTGCAGATGACGAGAGCCAACGCAATGCTTTAAAAGGTTGTTCTGCCCCAAGACCCCAAGACCGGGCAGGAACAGAGGCACACAAAGCCCTTCGTGAGGCTGGAGACGGCTGCAGAGGGGGAGGAGGCTGACGCCTCAGGCCTTCTCTCTGAGCCACACAGCTGTGTGGGGATTTGGCACGCTTCCTTCTATCAAGGACCTCCTTCTATCTAGAGCATGGACTGCACTTAAGGAGCACACAACAACTCAGTATCCCTCTGGAATTAACACGGACCTTCGAAAGCAAACAGCATGGAAACAAGAGGAACCGGGCAGAGGATTAAGAAGAAAAGGGTTAGGGATCAAGAGCCAGGTTCAGCAAAGGGGGGCAGGGAGCAGAACAGAGAGGAGGAGCCGTGTGTGCACGAGCTCTGCAATCACCTTTGCCAAAGACCCTGAGGCCTGTGCACCTGCCAGAGAGAACAGGACTGTAGATGAAACCAGAAGACCCATTCCCTGAGCTCTGGGGCCCAGGCGGTCCTCCCAGGACAACATAGCTGGAGTATGAACAAAGCGCCCTCCTCACCTCCTGGCAGGCTGCCCTGAGGCTCCCACACCACGGGGACTGAGGGTGTTTGTGTCGTTGCATCAGCAGGTGACTGCTCCTGCGTCATACTTGAGGCCAGATAACTTGTCTGAGGGCAGATGGGTTGCGAAGCAGAAAGTCCACAGGCAGAGGCTGTCCATTCATGGGAAATCCCTTCTCCGTCACTTTTTTCTCGGAGTTGACCTGCTCCTTCTTTTCAATCTGAAAGAGAGAGAGAAAAAGAAAAATTCACAAATTGGTAAGTGGTGCCCATTTCCTGTATGGTATTCAATAGAGCCGTGACTCCATGGATCTTTTTAAAAGATGTGTTTACTTTTATTTTATGTGAATGTCTCTGTGTAAGCATTGTGATGTGCATTTCCTATAGATTCCAGAAGAGGGCACTACAACTGAAGTTACAGAGAGTCATCAGCCACCCTGTGGGTGCTGGGAACTGAACTCAGGTCTCACAGGGACAAGAAGGACTTTAAACTGCTGAGCTGTGAGTGAAACACTTCTGATGCTCCTTTTCTCCGCAGAAACCCAGCTTTAGAATTTCTCTCTCTGGATTCTCAAGACTGTTAGTCTGTGGTCAAAATTGATATGACTTTTTACTCCCTGAAATAAGCCTAAGAAATATAGATGTGTGTCTAACACATACACACACACACATACCTTTTAAGTGCTCCTGTTTCTATGCATAATAATTTTGTAAGCAATTTTGCAACACAGAGGAACACAGAGGTAGTGTAAGCACACCCCACTCCTAGAACAGAAATATTTTATTGCTTGGGACAGTTGATCATCGTTGTCACCTTGCCTGGATTTAGAATTCCCAAGGAAACACACCTCTGTGTCATGGAAGTGTTCCCAGAAAGGTTTACGTGAGGAGACTTGGCCTGTGGGGGCGGGAGTCTGGAGCCCCAGGGGAGAGAAGATGAAGAAGACCATGAGCTGAGCACCAGCATTCGTCTCTCTCTGCTTCCTGACTGCCGACACAATGCGACATCCGCCCCATGCTCCTGCCACCATGATGGACTGTGTCCCTTCAAACTGTGAGCCAAAATGAACCTCCCTAACGTTGCCTTCCCCGATACCTTGTCACAGCAATGAGAGTAGTAACAGATGCCATGGACTCACATCCAAATGTGTGCACATGCGTGCAGAGTACATAAACTCTGTATAAAATTCTGACCAGCTTGACGTGTCCCTAATTTGACCGGGAATGAACTACACATAAGAAGATAAACAGCATTTAATAAATTTATCACAGGTATGGGGCCCAGACACGCACTGGTCACAGGTTCACCTGAAAGCGTGGACTCAAGCCTGATGCTAAGGCCCTCGCCTTCTCTGTGTCAGACTGTGAGGTTTATTAGTTGGTCTCATTCAGTCACTAACATCAGCCAAACCCTGAGTGTTTAGGTTCTGGGGAGGTGAGTGTGTGGTTGCCTGAGCCTGGTTTACACACAGTCCTGCAAGGGAGATGCAGAGGTGGTAAACCCACGCCCAGCAGAGGGCCGCCATCTGCCCAGCAACAGGGGCCATGGGGCAGAGGCCTCTACCAGGGCTCCTCACAACGATGATAATGAAGAGAGGAATCATGCTTTTCCTCCAGGAGACACCTGACACCATCTGTCCCGAGCAAAATAGCAAGATTAGTTGAGGTAGCAGGAAAGCCAATTGCCACCCTGACCTTACTCCAGCGTAGTTTTGAAAGTTTGACGTTACAAAGATTTCCTGTAGAGCAGAGCAGGAGAATCTAACAGCCAGAGACCACATAGGGTTGGAGAAGCCTGCGTCCTAACTTCATTTACAGAAGATCACTGTTCGGATGTCAGCTCCCTCCATGAACAGCCTAGCTTTAAGCGTGTACCAGAGCTGGATCCATCAAGATCTCCAACACACATCTCCCATGGACCACCAGGCTGATGCCAGATCTAATGATTGGCAGTTGCTGCCATAGAGACTCTAGCCACGACCAGGACTTTTGCAGGCCTTCCAAGGCATGCCTATTCTCTATCTTCACAATAAACCTTGAGGACACAGAGCCTTTTCTCAGAATGTGTTTTCAGCAAGATAGCAACTTAGAATGTGCACACACCGTTATACATACTGAAACAGAAATGCACAACTGTCTCTACTGAAAGGCATGATTAGCCCAGGGTGGTGGCGCACACCTGTAATCTCAGCACTCAGGAGTCGGAGGCAGGTGGATCACTGTGAGTTCGAGGCTAACCTGGTCTACAAAGCGAGTCCAGGACAGTCAGGGCTACACAGAGAAACCCTGTCTTGAAAAATAAAAATAAAAGAAAGACACGATTATGATGTATAAAATCCCAGACTCTACCAAAACAGAAGGTAGAATAAGTAAAACCACAATATATAAGATCAATGTGCAAAAGTTTTTTTGTTTTTTACTAGTAATAATGAACAGTGGAAAGTGAAGTTGAGAAAAGGTGATTTTTAATTACGTATTTTTTAATTTCTCCAGGCTGTGGATCTGATTTCTTAGGGTGACCAGCCTCTTACCATGGCAACCACGATCTTAGGATCCTGACATTAAACCCCAAATCTTTTTCCTTAATCTTTTAATTCTTTTTAAAAACAATTTATTTTTCATTTTATGTGTTAGTGGTTTTGCCTGCACGTGTGTTTGAATAAGGGCATCAGATCCCCTGTATCTGGAGTTATAGACAGTGGTGAGCTGCCATGTGGGTGCTGGGAATTGAACCCAGGTCTTCTGGAAGAACAGCCAGTGCTCTTAACCACTGAGCCATCTCTCCAGCCCCTAAACCCCAAATCTTAAAGACATGGGAAAGAATAAGCCATGTTCTGAAAGGAACATGCCAGGACCACCTCCCATTGACAAAGAGACGCTTCTGCCTTCCATTGAGATGCTGAAAACCAAGCCCATTCATTTCTAAAATTGAGTTATTCTCTGGTTTTGAGAATTTTTTCAAAAGAGCCATTATAGATCCAAAGAGGTCTTTGTCTAAACTGACTCCTCAGCACATCATAACTGAAAACGGGTCAGCTTCAGAAAGCCCCCTTTTTAACCCTTTTTAAACGTCTGCCCTCGCTGCCCTGCGTGGCTGTAAACTGCCCCCGTTAATGTGCTTCCTGCACCTCTAGTTTGAAATAGATCAATAAAGAAAATAAACAGTGTGGCGTGAAACGTCTGCCCGCTGAGGTTCTGAGCAGGGACACAGTACTGAGGGCCGTCAGGAAGCTGCTCCTGTGTCCCTGGCGGGCAGGACACAGCCCATGGAAGCAGCTTAGCTGGTACCCAGGGACTGAGCAAGGCTGGTTCCACGCCAGCCTGTGTCTGAGACGTCTGTTCTCATTGTCTTCTACATCCTTCCACTCCCGGCTTGAACCCCAGCCTCCCAGAGAGCCATCGCCTCACTTTGCATGAAGGACTGCCTCTTCTGCACAAAAGGAACGTCCTCAGCTCCCTCCATTTCCTGGCCACTTCCGAGTATCAGTTAGCCGGCTGAAGCAACCTTTCCACTCCAGTCCCCTGGAGGGACTTGGTCAATGACCACTCCACTTGGAGACCCCTCTCTTCTAGGGTTTAGTGAGCGGTAGCCAGCAGTTACCGACGCTTTCTCAAAAACAGCAGCTGCCACAGATGACCCAGGCCACTTATTTAGGGATATTGCAGCCAGGCTTGTTTCTAGGTCTGAAAACGAAGACACCCCCGAGCTTCACCAGTGACCCTGCATGGGGTCCTCAAGGGGGTTCTTGAAAGGTGCACAGGGCTGCGTGGCCGAGCAAGGGATGTGGACACCTGTGCTCCCTAGTGACTCACCTCGCAAACGCATTTCCAAACAGTAAAACGCTGGCCACCATGTGTGCACGGCAGGGAACGGGGGAGAGGGGTCTGTCCAAAACAGTAAATAAATAAATAAAGTCTATAAAGAAGAAGAGAGAAGGAGGAGGAGGAGGAAGAAGAGGAGGGGGAAAAGGAGGAGGAGGAAGAGAAGGAAGAGGGTAAGTCCCAGCCGAGTCTGGCAGTGCTCATCAGTAACCAAGCCTCTGGGCGTCTAAAGCACGAGGATTTTAGAGTTTGACATCAGCCTTAGATACGGAGTAAGCTCTGGGCTAGCCTGAGCTACAGCGTGAGGTCCTGCCTCAAAGGGAAGAAAGGAAACTGGTCTGGCTGAGGTAGGGCAAGGACAGGTGCCCCTCTGGCCATCCTCCTCCAGTTGCCCACTGTGGCCTAACTCTCTCGGTGAAGCCTCGGGCCCACGGCAGCACTGGAGAGCCCCTGTCTGGGGCTCCCACCGGCAGGTACCGGAGTATTTGCTGTGTACATCAGGACGGGCTGGTCTCTTCTCTGGTACTCAGAAATCACAAACTGCATTCCCAGGCCCAGTACAGCGTGCAGAACATTACAGGCAGGCAGGGCGGTTTGCTGAGTGACTGAACGACCGCCGAGGCTAATATCTGATGACGCGTGTCAGGAGGGTGGCGAATCGAAGGTGTCACACGCTCCTTTCACATAAGCACAGACACAGCTCACCGCGGTCACCGCCACTCTCTGAGGCCCTGGGGGCGTGGGGCACTCGTGTGCTCTGCCTGCCCTGGACTCTGAGCTGGTCAATGAGTGACTTCCGGTCCTGTGGGGCGGCAGGCTCTCAGCCATCGGAAGTGCGGACCGACCACCGGTGACATCCGGAAAAACGGAAGGCACGCACGCCAGGTGTTTCCAACAGCGGGGTTTAATGCGGGGAGGGATTACACGGGCGTGGCGCTGGGGCCAGAGCCCCACGTTAGTACTTGCGGCTACTGACCTTAGGCCGGGGGCTGGGGGCGGGGCAAAAAGGCAAGAGCTGGCGTTACCAGAACCTAGCCGGTCTGGTGGGAGGCGCCCCGCGGCTGGCGCCCGGCCCTCTGTGGGGGCTGCTGCGAGCTGGCTGCTTAGGCTTCTGGGGGGGCTTCTGCTTGGCTGGAGGTGGCCGGGCCTCTGGGCGGGGACGCGGCTGGCGCTCAGTCCTCGGAGGGGACCTTGGCTTGGCTGGCCTCGGAGGGGACCTTGGCTTGGCTGGCGGCGCTCTGACCACCACGGGGGACGCGGCCGGCTGCTGCTTGGGCCTCTGAGGGGACGTGGCACGGCGGCTGGTGCAGAGAGGGCCAAAAGAAGCTGGAGGCTGCAGCCCGGGCCCTCCACCGTCGCCTAAGGGATGCTGGCAGGAGCTGGAAACGGCGGGAAAGCCCCGCCCTCCCTCCCGCCCTCCGCTGGCCCTGCGGTACCTTCCTAACGGGAGCTGACCGTGGCGGAGCCAGGGGACGGTGCAGCCGAGCCCGCGCTCACCCTAACGGGAGCTGACCGTGGCGGAGCCAGGGGACGGCGCAGCCGAGCCCGCGCTCACCTGGTCTTCTGGCAGGCACAGCAGATCCAGTCCTCCTCTTTCTTCTGGTAGAAGCAGCCGCTCTTGCAGATGCTGTACTTGCGGTCCACGATCTCCCGCTTGGAGTTGAGGAAGGTGAAGGGCGGGCAGCAGTGAATGCTGAAGTGCTCCGAGAACTTCTGGTTCTTGGAGAGCCTGGGGCCCTCCTTGGCCATTTTCTGACTCATCTCACTGGAAACCATTGAGGAGGGGAGGAGGAAGGAGACACAAAACAGCATGTCAGGGAAGGGCCCCTGTTCTGCAGAACAAGGGTGCAGAGCTCAGGTGAGGGCAGTTAGGAACGTATGCATGCTCCCGCCCTCTTCTGAGTGACCTTGTTAGGGTATACGCGCTAATTTTCCTCTTCCAGGGTGAGCTCTTTGCTTTTCTTGTCTGCATTTTGCTTTTCCCAGACCGCGGTGTGTCTGTGAGGAGAGCCACTGTGGGCGGCTCCATTCCCTAGGCCGGCAGTCCTGGGCTGTGTAAGAAAGCTAGCTAGTATCCTTCTCAGTATCCTTCTCAGCCAACACCCACCAGCTCACCCCTTGCCTGAACGAGCGAGACTCTGCCCAAAAGGAAGGCTCCTTGCGGAGTCTTCCCTTCCCCTAAGAAGGAAGGATCCCTCCTTGTGGCCTGACTTCTGATTAAATTCTAGATTTAAAGACTGAAGAAACATGCAGACACCCAGAGAGATGAAATATGAGGAGGACCATAACTGGAAAAATACATATTCACAATAGCAGCAAGATCCTGAAATACACAGAAGTAAAGTGAAAACTAAAATGTCTAAATTTCTGTGGGAAAAACCTAAAGCTGCAGAGACAATAACATGAATAAAGTTTAAAAAACTGTAGATGGAAAAGATCTACAGCGTAAAGAAACATGTTTCCCAAAGTAAACTAATGAGTGTCACGAACTTCTTACTAAGATCCGCAAAGCTCTTAAATGAAGAGTTTCAGTCTGAACCAACAGGGTAGATGAGGCAGGCAGGTAGCACAGTCACACAGGAGCAAACGCCCAGGAATCATGGAGAAGAGTCAAAAACCCCAATCCCAGAATGGAGAGGGGAAGGGCTACAGAGCCCCGCCCCCAGCAGCTTGGGGAAGGGCTACAGAGCCCCGCCCCGCAGCCGAGAAGCTGTCTGCAGTTGGCGGCAGCAGGACAGAGAGCGTGGACTGGCATTGGATGTAGCACAAGTTCTCAAGAGCAGGCCTCACGGTCCGGAGCAGCTGGCCAACGTGAACCAGAACCCATGTATTTGGTGGCAGCAGGGAGGAGTCGAAAGAGGGGAGAGAATTTTATCAAAACATATTGTCTGAACCTCTCAAAAATAAAAACATTAAAATTGAAATGAATGTTTTAAAGTCTGAAAACTAACAGCTGTTCTCACACCATTCATGGAAACACATTCCTGAGGGCCAGAGTTTAAAATAGTCTGACATACTGTAACAGCAACGCTTAGGACAGGGAAACATGGCGTCATAAATTCCAGGTCATCGTAGGCTGCATAGTTCAGTCCAGCTCAGTCCACATGAGACCCTTTTAATTAATTTTGCAACAAATTAATTAAAGAAACATAAAATAGTGAATGAGTGGCCTACAACTAGGCAAATAGAACAGGGTAGAAAACTAGAACTCAAAAGCAGACCTACAAGAAAGCTTGATTCATGTCAAGGATGCCCTAAGCCAGCATCGGGAAAAGGGGGTTCTTCATGAAGAAGCTTACACAGTTAGTACTGATGTGAACGGAGGAATCAAAAACTACTCCACGCCAAAGACACAGTATCCGCAGCCAAGAGAAGCAATATCAGAATAACGCCACATATGTAAATATACAGAGAGCGGCTCCTATTACCGTTACATGCATGTCCTGACCACATGTGCATGCCTGGCGCCCGGCTGGCCAGAAGAGGACGTCTGCTTCCTTGGAACTGGGGCTACAGGGGGTTGTGACCCACAGTGTGGGTGCTGGGGTCAAAGTGGGGACAGCACAGCAGCCAGCTCTTAACTGCTGAACTGTCTCTCCAGCCCCAAAACTCTTAAGTTTTTGTCAGTCTGGTAGGTGGCATGTTTTTGACACAAGCCTGATAAAGTAAATTAAACTTCAGAATGGTTTAAATTTGAAAAGCCTGAAAGTACAATTTACTGCATCAGAGGAGAGGGGAGAGGTGGCCAGTGTCTATTGAGGAAGCATCCCCCGGGGCTGGGGCGACGGTTCAATCCAGAGCACACAGAGAGCCAGCAGGACGGCGTGTGCTCTAACCCCAGCATTCGAGAGAGGAAATGAAGACAGGAGAATCCCTGGAGGCTCGTGGGCCAGCAAGCCTGGCGTGCACAGCAGAGAACAGGAAAGAGGCCCCGGCACAAACAGGGTGGGAGGGGAAAACCAACACCGAGATTGCCCTCTGACCCCACAAATATCCTCACTCTTACGTATTAGCACACAGTATATAGACTAAACTAATTGTTAATAAATCAGTTAAATTAAAAACAAATTGCTCAGGGAAACTCCGTATCCACTCATAGCCAACCTCCCATTGTAGTGAGAACAGAGTGTGACGGCCTAAGAGCATGGCATCCAAGTCAGACACCTGAAGGATACCACCGACCACCACTGTCACCTGAAGTCCTTTGAAATCCCAGCCAGCAGAGACACTTTTAACTTAAAAGCTGAGCTGGGCGTTAGTGTCAGTAAAGTGTTTGCCCTGCAAATATAAAGACCTGAGTTTAATCCCCAGAGCCCACATTTTAAAAAGATTAAAATCAAAAACCAGCAGGAGTGGTGATGCGTGTGCAATCCCAGCAGCGGGAGGCAGACACAGAAGGATCCCTGGGGCTCGCCAGCCAATCGGTGAGCTCCAGGCACCCTGAAAGGCTGTCACAAGTGACAGTGCAAACACTGTCCTGAGAAATGAGGCTCAAGGTTGGCCTCTGGTCTACACACACACACACACACACACACACACACACACGAGCATGCACATATACATACACATACCAAAATATTCTTAAGCTGTCAAACTCTACAAACAAGTGTGAGAGATAGGGAGAGAGAAAGAGAGACACAGAGAAAATCCAACCGGATTCCTGACACAGACTGAGAGATGGCTGGCTCAGAGGTTAAGAATGGCTGAGCCCCCACATGGCGCCTCACAATCACCTCTTGGTAACTCCAGCTCAGTGGGATCTGCTGGCCTCTTCCGACCTCCGCAGGCACCAAGCATGTTCATGGTGCACAAGACATATGTGCAGACAAAATGCCCACACACATAAAAATTAATTAATTAATTAGTTAATTAATTAATTAATTGACTGATTAATTGTTTGAAAGTATTTGTTAAAAAGACGCCTGACATAGGTCAATACACAAGAACCCAAACATTTGCAATCCAAGAATAAAATATATACAATAAGAGAAGCAATTCACACTAAGCGAAAGACCACCGGACGTTTACAGACAGAAATACATCAAATGAAAGAAACAAAAACTATCCTTAAGATACGTACATAGTCAGGGATGGGGAGATGGCCAGCAATTAAATACGAAAGACATGGGTTCAGTTCCCAGCCCCCACTTCAGGCAGCCTACAGCCTGTAACTTCAGTTCCAAAGAGTACAACACTCTTTTCCAGTCTCTTGATATTACTGTGTAAATCTAAGTGGTTAATGTAATTCTGATCAACATCAGATTTGCATGTCACTGACAAGATCATCCTGTAGCTCTTGTGAAAGCATGAAAACCCAAGAACAACTGAGATAGTTTTGAATAAGAAATCCATGTCATACCATATCTTAGCACTCACTGTGATCTAAAGTAGACACACACACCACCACACAGACACACACTCCAAGAGAAATCCATGTCACACCAAAGATCAGCCCTCGCTATGAAGTGGCCTAATCTCGGGCTAGACCGGGAAAAGGCCGACAGATGAATGAAGCAGGGCTGACAGTTCCCAACAGCCCCACATCTGCACGGCGGCACGATCTAGAACGGATCATTTAAAACACCCGGTGGCTGGTGCGGTGGGCAGCTGTAGTCAGCACTTTAACAAAATCTGGAAACACTTGGGAAGAGTCTCAGTGAGGGAGTTTTCTAGATCACGCTGGGCCTGTGAGCTTGTCCCTGGGGGAGTGTCTTGATTATGTTAAGTAATGTGGAAATAGCACCCTCTGGAGGCAGCACACACCCAGGCAGAGATCACCGGCTGCGTAAAGTATCCAGCAGTGGAGACCTTTAATCCCAGAATTTGGGAAGCAGAGGCAGCTGCAGCTCTGTGAGCTGGAGGTTTGCCTGGTCTACACAGTAAGTTCCAAGACAGCCAGAGCTACATACTGAGACCCTATCTCAGAAAGAAAGAGGAAGGAAGGAAGGAATGAAGGAAGGAGGGAGGGAGGGAAGGAGGGAGGGAGGGAGGGAGGGAAGGAGGGAGGGAGGGAGGGAAGGAGGGAAGGAAGGAGGGAAGGAAGGAGGGAGGGAGAGAAAGAGAAGGAAATGGAGAAGTGAGCTGGGCACGGGCTAGCATATTTTAATTCACTGCGTTGTGTGCCCTGGCCTATGAGTGTGATATGATAAAATGTCTCAAGAACTGCCATTGTGTCTCTCCCTCGGTGACCGACTCTGACTTGGAATTTGGGGCTATACGTCGTTTCTCCCCTAACTCGATTTTTCTAGGCTGGTTTATGACAGCAACATAACTAGACAGGAAACGACACTAAGACAGGTGAACACTTAAAGTAAAAGCAAGCAAGACGCTGGTCTGAGTGGAGCCAGAAAACACATAGACGGTCGGCCTACAAGCCGGCACAGTCACCCTCGTGACATCAGTCACTCTACTTTGCGAACGAGAGGTACAGAGAGGGTGCCTGAGGGCAGAGAACTAGGAAATGGGGTGCCAAGACCCCAACTAAGATGTATTCTTGACTCTGACAGACTAAGATGTATTCTTGACTCTGACACGAGAGTCTGCCTAACTCAGAAAACAGGAAGAGGAAGAAGACGAATCCTAAAGACCGCTGCTCCACGGAATAAAGCACCAGTCCGTGCCATGGTCACCAGAAGGCAGCACCCTCGGCGGCCGCGCCCGCACCCTGCACCTTCAACGCAACCTTCACTTATTTTCAAGTAGGACGCCATGTGCGCAGAGCCCGCAGACCATGCCAGGTGTTCCCGGCCAGCCCTCTAATCTTCAAAACGTGTTCCCCGGCCTCAACCTGAGCGTGTTAGCTACAGAGCGCGCTCAGCAAAGGGCTGAGCTTCTACGGCCTCCTGAAAACAGTCCCCATGCTCCTTTTACACTCACTGAGCTATGAACCCGTCACCTTCAGTAACTGGATGACTTCAAGCTATAAGTTAGACCTCCTGTTCTGACGTGGAAGGAAATGTTTTAACATGTAAAAGTATCATGTTTTGGTAATCAAGGTTTTTAAATCAAAAAATAAGCTCTATGAGAAGAATATTCTATTTTTAGGTATTGTGTCTATTTATTTGTGTGTACGTGTCAGTGTGTATGTGGGGGTCAGAGGACAGGTGACCAGAGTTGGTTCTCTGCCTCCCAGTTACATGCGGCCCAGAGAGCATGTTCAGGCTGCCAGGCTTGGCGCAAGCCCCTTCACCCACCTTCCTGGCCCAAATGGTGCTTATCTGCAGCACCCAGAGAAAAAGAAATAACATTAAGCAGATGGCAGTTCACATCCATCCAGACGGGCCCACAGACAAGGGAGGGGAGGACAGCCTATGTGGGGTGCAGGGGTGGGGCTCGGGAATGCTCTGACTGCTGTTTACAGCTGTAGCACGAGCTCTCATAAGCCAGTGAGCCCTGGGCTGTCAAAGAAGCCCTGCCCCCAGCAAGAAAGGAACGGAGCAGGTGCTGGGACCCAGCCAGTGTCTCCCTGTGAAGACAGTGACCAATGGGCAGAATGACTCCACCAGCTCCCTTAGAGACCTAGAGCAGCTGCTAACCTTTGCTGACCTTCTCTCAGGCCAGAGGCTGATGCCTTCCCCTGAGTGGAGATTTACACGTAAACACCACAGCTTCTGTGTTGACCAGTCCACGGCAACCGAGATAGAAAAGAGTAGGGTGTCAGCACTGGTCTGATGGCTGTTGATTCATGCCCTCGAGGGGTTTTTGCCATGTATCTCCCTGAGGCTGACTGTGTTTACACACTAATGCAATGAAATTCGAGCCGTTATCATTGGTGACAAACCAGTGTCAGCTAATGGACAATGCCACACAAATACTTAGTTTAAATTAGGAAGCCTGTCTGCAGACAGCCACAAGATGCCAAAATCCAACGGGGATTTGCACTAGGTGAGACATAACAGAATGAGAGTGCTCCAGTTACCCTGGAGGCTGCTGCCCGTTCGGGAACACAAACAAAGCCACGTCAAGTGCCTCCTTGCATTGCTTCATCGTTGCATGGCTTTGTCTTAGGCAGCAAAGACAAATGAAAGCTCCCCAGACTGCTGTCTCACAGGCTGTGAATGAGTCCTTCTTGATGAACAGTCTCTCTGCCTGTAACAGCTCTGAGGAAAGGAAGATGTGTAACGAAGACTGCCATCGCAGGCACACGTGTGGAGACATTAGTTCCTACAACAGAGCAAGACAAACGTCCAACGAGTGCGCTAATTAAATGTTACATGAATAATGCCCATTTTAAAGCTAAAATTATGCGTGTGTTATAATCTACAGGCCCAGGAACATTCGGAAGATTTGTTTTTATGGTATGTGTAGAAGTGTTTTGACTGTATGTGGCTGTGCAGTGCCTGTGGAGGCCAAAACAGGGCGTCAGATCCCCTCGAGCCAGAGTTACAGGTGGTTGTGAGCTGCCATGTGGGCGCTGGGAACCAAACCCAGGTCCTCTGCAAGAGCAGCCAGCGCTCTTGACTGAGCCCCAGACTCCTCAGCCTGGGGACACTGGACTCCCGATGGGGATTAAAGAGAACAGATAATCAGTCATTTCGCCCTCGGTTCATGGCCGGGTTGAAGGGTCTAGCTGCCAAGTCGGAAGGCGCCAGAGGGCCCTGTCTCCTGGAGGGTTCAGAAAAGCATGGCTGGGGATAAAGTGGACGAACAAGGTGATGAAGGCCACCCACGCTGCTCAGTGTGCAAAGAGAAAAGACTGTGTGATGGTTTTGCTCTACTCAGCTCTCCTAGGAGACCTCTCAGGGGCGCGCCCAGCAGGCCACTTCCAGTGAGGTTACCTGGGCAGAGGAGAGCCACCCTGGACGTACGCCCCTTCTGATGGGCAGCTCAGAATCCATAAAAGAAGACAGCAAGCTGAGCACAGACAGTTGCCTCTCCCTGCTTCCCGAGGCCCCGCACCCTGCTGCCATGCCCTGCCCGGCTGAGGGACTGCATGCTCAAACTGTGAGCCAGAATAAACCATCTTCTCTTCCGTGGTCCCAGCATCTCGAAAACCAGCTGAGACAAGCTCTGCCGGAGCCTCAGGGCACTCCATGTTCCCCGGCTCGGTGAAGGAGCGAGTGGAAAGGGACCAGTCAGAGGGAGAGACCCTCAGAGCTGTGAGAGCATGGGAGCCAGAAGCAAGGAGGGCTTCAAATTCAGTCAGCTGTCCCAGGTGAGTCCAAGAGCAGCTTAACAGAAGCACAGAAATACCTGGTGACCACAGCCAGAGTCAGTCCTTGAAGCCATATCTGAGGGATTGTGGAGGGAATTTCAGCCAGCTAAGGATTTGGACAGAAGCGAATGTGGGTCCTGGGGGGTGGGGGAGATGCAGTTTACAGAGGGCTGTTGGGGGAGGTGCTGATGTTTGGGTGATTGTTGGTCTGTTGTTTGTTTCGTTGGCATGATGAGAAAGGTAAGAATGTGCAAATGTGTCTGTGGGAACCATCTATAGAGAGAAAGACTCTAAAACACAATCAGAAGTTAATAATATTCCTGAAGAAGAAGCTGAGGTGTTAAAATGCGAGCACATGGGCGGAGGAGGCTGAACACCTGCCCTTTGTGAGAAGAGGAGACAGAGGGAGAGCAACGACCCAACCACTGAAAGCTCTTGCTGCTCCGGAGAGGACGAGAATTCGCTCCCTAGAACCCATATTGGGCAGCTCACATGACCTTTTGTGGCTCCCAGGGGAACTAGTCCTCTGAAGGCACTGAATGCACGCATGCATTTGTCCAATGAAACGGGAAGCCAGAGTCTCAGCTAAGAACAAGAAGGGGAGGGTTTGAGGACACAGTGGTACAGCAGATCTTGTAGCAGCGTGGAGAGCAGGCTATTGAGCCAGTGGCTCCCGGGCTCTGCGGGAAACCCCTGACCATCAGCCTGCTCCATTGTGCTTGCCTCCAGCCTTTCTGAGCAGCCGGGATGTAGGCACGCAGAGACAGTTGCGTCTGGGCTGAGATCTGCCAGTGAGTTTGCAAGACTGCCGTGATGGAATTTCGAATCTATCGGGAATGGCTAAATAAATAACTACAAGGAAAACAAAAGCTAGAAAAGCAGGAAAGCGTGCTTGATGGGCAGAGGGATGGACTCACGGACAGACGGGAGTGAGGGCCAGGCAGACTAGAAACACCCTGAGGAAGAACGGTTGTGCTGAGCGACTGAGCAGAACAGTGTGCGAGAGGGAGGCTGTGCGTGAGCTGGAGCTCGAGCCGCTGGTTGGTAAAGCATGCTCCACAGCGGGCAACGCAGCTGAGGCAGGGACTAACACACAGGAATGCTGGCTCCTGTGTCCTGTGACAGCTGTGGGCTGAGGTGATGGGTGAGTTGTGGCAGAAAGAGAGAGGGGAGTCCTGTTTAAAGCCATCAGTGGAAAGCCGGGAACAGTGGCACACACCTTTAATCCCAGCAGAGGAGGCAAAGGTAGGCGGATCTCTGTGAGTTTGAGGCCAGCTCGGTCCACAGAGCGAGTTTCAGGACAGCCAAGGCTGATACATAGAAAGCCTGTCTGGGGGAGGGAGGGACCTTGGTGGGAAGGGTGGGGGAGAGCGGCTACCCCACTGGGAACGGAGCTCCAGCTTGGAATGCTGGTTTAACTGGAGAGCAAGGGAGCTGTGAGGAAAAGATGACACAAGCCTCACTCTCAAAGCCGGAGCCATTTGAAGCACAGAGTAGTCCCACTGGAGAGACAGAGGAGGCTTTCTTCTAACAAGCCTGGGAGGGCTCGGCTCACACAGAGACAAAGATGGAGCCCCTGAGTAAAGTTTGGGTCAGGGAGACTTTTTTTTTTCTTCTTTACTAGAATGGCCATGGTGTGCGGTACAGGATGGTGCAGGAGACAAAGGCTGACGGGGGTCGTGGTCTCTCTAACACAGAGGATTTGTTTGCCTGTTTCTGTTCTCCAGACCTAGAATACCAGGAGAAAACTGACATGCTGTAAAAGGTGTTTAAGCTCCCGAGCATGACGGCTCACACCTTTAATCCCAGCACCCAGGAGACACGGGCAGGCAGATCTCTGAGAGTGTGAGGCTAGCCTGGCCTGCATATTGAGTCCCAGGCTAGAAAAGACTTCATAGTGAGACCCTTTCTAAAAGAAGGAAGGGAAGGAAGAAGAGAAGGAAGGAAGGAGGATGAGAGCACGCCTTATGGAAAACTCCACCCAGTCTCTTGCTGATTTTACATCCTTCTGTGGCGTTCTGAATGCCTGTAATCGTTTATGCAACAATTTAGACGCAGATCCGTACCTGTCCTTTCTTCCGCGCTCATCTGGCGACCAGGGCTCTGTTTTCAGCTTGTCTTTCTCTCATTTGGTTCTTTGTTGCCCCTAGAAATGAGGTGGCAGGACAGACACTGGTCAGTTAGTGTACTGGCTGCTTGGTCACAATTCAGTCACGTTGTTTCACATGGAGGCTCACTCTCACAGCCCTAAACTGGATCATGATGGGCCTGTCCGCAGCTCTGGGGATGGCGGAATGATGAATTGGTAAAATCTCATGCTAATTTGCATGCCATCTTGTCACTATGGAAAAAAAAAAATGACACCTGTCCTGTTAATTTAAGCCAAAATGCCTTAATCCAGGCTGAAAAACAGCTCAGTAAGGCAGGCCTTCGAGCCTGAGTTTGGTCAGAGGCCTCTGCCAGGGAAGGCCTTCCTGCCATTGAGGGAAGGGAGTTCCTTTTTACAGACCCTGAGCCTTTTCTCCATTTGATTCTTTTATTGTTAAAGATAAAATGCAAAGTTTGAGCTGATCTCCAGGTGCTGCTAGCTCCTAGCTCAATATGGGCCATAAGGACTCTCAACAAATGTTTGCTAATTGAATGGTGAATGAATGAATGGAAAACAAAACTGACACAGTTGTAAAAGGCCAGGTGGCACACGCCTTTGATCCCAGCACTCCGGAGGCAGAGGGAGTTTGAGGCCAGCCTGGTCTACTCAGTGAGTTCCAGGACTACACAGATTAACTGTAAAGCACTTTATCAGAGGCTGTAGATTGTGGTCCCCAGCGACCACGTTGTTGGTCACAATCATCCTTAATGCCAGATCCAGGAAATCCAAGCTTCTTTCCCAACTTGGCACCAGCACACGTGTGGTGCGCATACACACAAGAGGCAAAACACCCTGCACATAAAATCAGATAACAAGATAAAACAAAAGCCTTTGTCAAGCCACATCATGCTCTTGGTTAAGATTCTAGGCTGAGGGTAGCTTACATGGCCCAAACACAGCAATCAGCTACGTAAGGCTGCACAGAGCTGGATCCTAGCAGCTCAGACAGGCCAGGCTTGGCTTTCCATCCTCACAGGCCAGCTAAAGAGACTAGTCAGTCAAAAGCAGGAAGGGAGCTAGTCATTGTGCCCAGGCGTGGTCACAGGGTGGTGTGGCCAGGTGTGGTCACAGGGTGGTGTGGC